CCCCCCCCCCCCCATGTCATCCTTGACTGCACCTTGCAGAGAAAATTCCAAGGGTAGAAATGTGTTGAAGTGATGGGAAAATGTGATATCACATACTTAGACAAACACTTGATGAAAATCTTAAATATTCAAAATTTAAAAAAACCATATGGCACATTTTACAGTTATTCAACCAGCCTCATGTGTGAATGATGGGATGTCATATTCTATTTGATCTTCCGGCAACTCGGCCAACAGAGCAAACATAATTTTAGTGAGCAAGTACTCAGTATTTTCTCACTGAAAAGTCAGTGGAAGGCTGGGGAGAGAAAGAAATTTGTACCAAAGGGGTAAGGAAGGGGTGGACAATTGTCTTCTTACCTTTCCCTGACCTCTCCCCCCACCATCCACTATAATTCTACATCAAACAGGGCTGGTTGGATATATGATTGCAAGTTCGTAACCTCAACTTGCCCTAATACTTTTACTTCCTGATCAGTTTACAAAACTTGTTCTTCAGGCTATCAAAACAGGTTGGGTTGATACATTTAATGGTATCATGGTATTTTGTGACACAAATTCACAAAATAAAAACAATAAAAACTCAACCATTAAAAAATATATGTAACTAACACCAAATGATGAAGTAAAACTCACTGTTGGAAGTGCTGTTCTGGCATCTGTGAGGAGGGAGGGGGCACATATGGGGGTGGAGGAGGAACATATGAACTGCCTTGAATTAAATATATTTGAACTTCGGTTAAAGACGCGAATGAATGAAATATGAATGAAATATATGACTTCCATATATTCACAACCGTATATGAACAGCCTGTTGGATTATATAAAATAGTTACAAAATTTGTAGCAATATATGCAAAACTATAATGTTACCACTTTGCAAAACTACGTTTATGTAATGTTGCCAAGGAGTAAATCTCATGAACAAGGGGCAATCAATAAATAAAAATTTTAATAAATATCAAATAAATCTGACTTATAAGAAGACATCCAAGAGGTGGGAAAGGGTTACCTGATATGAACTGGCATTCCACCCAGGGGGGGGTAGCAATGCTCTTAATCACTCATTCCATGTGGCAGAAAATGTGGAGCTATTAGTTCCAGTTGTATTCATACAACTCATGAGCCACTTGACTCCAGTAAAGAATTGACCCTATTTTAGTGAGACAAGCTTGGTAAATTCATTAAAATTTGTAAAAAATCCTCATTAGCCTACCAAATTGTGTTTGTTCATATCCAGAGTAATGCGCAAACATGTCAGGAGGGGGTGCAGAGGGAGCTGGAGGCTTGCCAAACTGGTTATCAAACACATCCTGAGGGGGTACATCTGAGCCTGAATATGTAGGTCTGTCTACTCTACCTGTCCAATGATAAATCAGTTTATAAATTATGTGAAGAACTACATTTTAATTTTTTGTATTTATCTCTTTGGAACACTTTGATAATCACTGACAGGGAAGCATGATAAACTAGGTTAACTTCCAAAGTGACTAGCATCTAATTTCTCCTTACAATATCACCCCTGAATCACGCAGTATGGTTACAAGAGTAAAGAAAATTATCAGCAGCTAAAGAAGTTGTTGATTGTTACACAAATTCTCCTTGTCAGCACCTTAAGGAATGTATAGAGAACAGTATGGAGAATATGCATACTGATGTTAGTGTCTAAAGGGTAAAATACATAAAGGTGTATTGCAACAGTACCTAAATGAAGCCACCAGGCTCGTATGAAGTTAGCTAACAAACGTTCAAATTAATATATAACATTGAACAAGACATGTGGGGGAGAAGCCAGATTCAGATCACAAGGGAAAAGAAGAAAAAAAGAAAAGAAGAGGTTAATAATTTTTTTATTAGGAATTTTCAGTTTATTTTTGAAGGATTTTAGAGTTGCAGTCTTTTTCAATTTTGAAACTTAATGGTATTGAAATTGAATGTCAATCCTGGAAATTAACAAAGAATGCCTGAACTGTTGGTTTGCTAGAGTGTGCATAGGTTGGAGTTCATCTCATTATGGGATAATTGTGATGAATGTTTTAACTAGAATAGAGAAAATAGAATTGTTTGTCAGCTTCCCTTCCCAATGGTGGATTCAGGGAAAGGGTCCAGGATCTGTGGATCCCCATTTTGATCAGACCTGTGTAAATTTTTATTAGAAGTAGATATGTCCGAAATCAACATTCTTCCAACTTACATATTACTATATATTCAGCTTGAAACATGTAAAGTTTATACTTTTCTTGAAATATTTCTTGGCTTGTTTAGACAAGTGATGAGAATTTAGAAAAGTATCAATTTGGGGATTATTAGTTGATCCAATACCAAATTCTCCAAACTAACAACATAGGAATTGTATGGCAAACAGTAAAGAGTATTACTAATGAGATCTGGGAGTTTAAGGGTTACACTGGATACTATGAGAATTTGGTGCTTTGCCATCTATGAAAAAAAAAAATGGTAACTTTATAACATTATCGCAAACTTAAATGGATGATTGGATTTCAAAATCTATTATCAGCAGTTATCAACAGAATCAGAATTTTATCACCATCAGTTTGTGTCTGAATTATTTCAGTTACTCACCAGTAATGGCTAGTGATCCATGGCCAGGTAGCTGAGGGGCTGGGGGACCATACCTTGGCTGAGGGGCTGGGGGACCATACCTTGGCTGAGGGGCTGGGGGACCATACCTTGGCTGAGGAACAAAGCCAATCTGGGGTTGAGCTGGAAAGGAAAAAAATTCAAATCCTTTAACCCTTTCACTCCCAAGATCTAATTAGTAATTCTTCTTACTGTCTGTCATACAATCTTTTGATATTATGTAGGAGAATTTAGTATTGGATCAACTTCAAGTGACCTAGATTATCTCCCGCTTTATATTCTCATCACTTTTCTACTTAATATTGTGCTGATATTGTAAGGAGAAGTTTTCTCTTGGTCACTCATGGGAGTTTAAGGGTTAACTCCTATGAGTGACCAAGACAGAATTTCTCCTTACAATGTCAATACAATATCAACCAGATAAGTGAAGAGAATAAAGAAAAACATAAACTTGGGGATAATTAGTTGATCCAATACTAAATTCTCTGAACTAATGTTATAAGAATTGTAGGTTGACAGTTAGGAGAGTTACAAATTTGATCTGGGAGTTAAAGGGTTAACCCTCTACAGCCTAACTTCGGAAAGCACTATTATTCTTCATACTGTTCTCTAGACATTTTATAAGGTGCTGACAAGGAGAATTTGTTAGACAATCTTGAGCATCTTCAATTGCTGATCATTTCTTATATTCTCATGACTTTAATGTTTGATTCAGGGATGATAATGAAGGAGAAATTAGAAGCTAGTCACTCATTGGGGTTTAAGGGTTATCAAGGGGACCATGCACTTATGTTACTTGCCGTAAATAAGTCACACAATTAACTTACAAATTGTAAACGAGACTTTGTGATAGAGGATTGAACACTGATGAAAAATTCTTAGATATACTATTAAAAAAATGAGGACAAGGGTTTCATCAGGGTTAATTTCCAAACATGAGAAAGCTGATGAAAGCACCAGGCTGCAAGGCCAAGTACTTTAAATGTTTTAGAGTGTTTGGAAATCCTGATGCACAAGTTTTTGAAACTGCTTCTCAACTGCACCTTAGGGATAAAAGAAAATTGAAATATTCACAAATTTTTTGTATGTTGTCAGCAAGTTTGTTGTTACAAAAAATTGTATTGCTATGGTGATTTCTCTTTTCAGAAAGGGTGTAAGCAATGTTATCACAATGCTGAGTTTTCTGAGGTGTTGGCACCTAAGTGCAGCACTAGTAAGGAAGAAATGAGTAAAGACACAGAAGGTACTGTTGAAATTGGTAATTTGAGGAGTTCTTGTGATCAGTTTATGGCCTCTGCCTACTTTAAGAAAAGTAAAATAAATATTAATGTAAACAAGGGAATGAATGTGATCATACTTTCTTTAGACAATGTCTTATTTCTTCATATTAGAGAGGGTGTTAATAAAGTTTGTTTGTTTTTGTGGGTGTCTTTGTTTTAAGTATTCAAATACATGTTATTAATATTCAAATTAAGAAATGAGTTCACTTGAGTTTGATGCCTTATTATATGAAACTCATGGATAGCACATCATTCCAGTGTTTCACCAGGGTTTCAAACCACATGCATGTGACCAAATTGGCATGTCTTGGTTGGATGACCCCCTTATGAATAATTAATGCTTTGAAAATGTGAACTTATAATCTAATTGCAAACCACTAATCCATTGTCTACTCATGATCCAAGAAAAAATTCATCAACTATCCCCATGTATGTACTGTTTCATTAATATACCTGGTTGATAACCTTGAAGAGGTCCATAGGCATATCCAGTAGGGGGATAAGGCGCTTGACTCATAGTGACAGCAGTCCAACAATTATCATGAATTTCTGACAAACAGATGTTATAAATAAATTAATTAAATCTCAAATCCCTTTGAAGACACTAAGATATAATAGATATAGACTAAGATATAATAAGGAAGATATAAAAAGCTTTCACCCGAATTTATTGAAAACTGTAAGCAACATAGCTTAGTTTTGGAAGCTAATTTTAAGATATGAGTTTCAATTCCAACTTTTTTTCCGGTTTTGCACGTGGGTACTCAAACCTTGACATTCATCGACTGAACAAATCTAGGTTTGCAATAACGAGTGTGAGGATAGAAATTACACTTTCGATTCCTGTGGAATTTAACACGCCATTGTGAATATTTCGTTGTTAGCGTACAGTGAGCTGGGATTATAATTTAGAGACATGCAAACAGGTATCGTTTTCATTTTCCAAACAGATATCGAGAAGACATATTACACGCATTTACAGCTGAAAACTCCTCCAATTTGTCTAGCATCAATTTTTACACTCTCTGATCCTTACAATAAAACACAGATTAAGAGGTGAGAAACGCCAAAAGCTAGTCTGCCGCAGCGGCGCCTCCATGCATGGAAAATACGTCGACATGGGGACATTGATACCGATCGTTTCATAGCTACCAACACAAAACGCAATAAGAAATACACGACACCTTACCCTATCTAATGAAAGGAGCCTTAAAAATGTAATAGTTTGCTTGTATTTGGCTCTCTCAGCCTGCGTGATCTTACCTCACGTCCTTTAGAACGCAACTCAACGTTGCACGACGAGGAGGAATGTGATCGATATTCTGCTCTCATGGTATAATTAAATAATGCTGTGGGAGGGATGGTCGTTAATTCATCGCCTATGGCTCTTGAGTGGGTGTGAAGACCTGTGAAGCTAATTTAATACAGAACTGGAAGTGTGTCAGGAAGGAGATCTTTAGCTAAAGAAAACATAATGCGTCGACTTGTTTCAATTTTAGGGTAATTGTTGCGAATGCATTATCTCCTCTGCCCTCCCCAAGTCGGGTGCGTCTTGTACGAGTGCAGAGCGAAGCGGGGAACGCTTGCGGCTTGCTTAACCTCTCTCCGCCCTGCTCACGACTTAGGCCCGTCACTACGACTAAGGGGTCGGAGGAAAGGATATATGACAGCGGTTAAGCGATCATCTCGTGCAGGTGACGTGCGACCTGCGTCGTAAAGAATAATTGTGACGTCAGTCTTTACTTCACTCGTTTTCGCGGTAAGAGCAAGATTGAGCTTTTCGTGAGAGAGGACAAAAAATTCGGAGACATATCGAAGATGAAGTGGTTGAGTGCGCTTATAGTGCTTTCGTTTTTATTTGCGTTTTCAGATGCTACAATCAGTGCTAAACTGGACGGTAAGGTATTTCCTCCCTCTGAAAAACAAAAGAAACATTTTTCTCTATGTTGACGCCTTACGGCTAATGATCTTTCTGGACTTATTAATAGAAACAAGGATTTAACCCGACATCGTCTCGTCAAGCGGTCTATATTCGTTAATGGATCGATCAGTTTTCGTTGCTAAATCTGTCCGGTTATGAGGTTTGACTTTTTCGTCAAGGAAATTCTCATGAAAAGTACTTTTGTATCCGCAAAACAAATGTTTCTTGTTGCTATGGTAGCTGCGCGCGTGGTTTTACGTTCTTTTTTTTTTTTGTAGCATGCGCTCCAGAAACGGTTACGCAGCGCAAATTATTTTTTGTGTCTCTCCAAATCAAGGGGTGTTGACCATTTCAAAGAACCTACAAGAGCGCAAAACTGAATTTTTTGTTCTCACTGCCATGATCAGTATTCATTTTTTTTTTCTGTGTAGAAACTCTTCTGAAAGTTAGTGAGATGCAGGGCCGAAATGATTTGTACCAACACAAGATGATGATGACTGGAAAGTGGGACGACGAGGTTTGGCAAAATTTAGATTGCTGAGAAAAACAAATTGTTGACTGCAATTAAGAAATAATAAATTTATAATTCGAAACCTTGCATCGCGGGCAAGACACCTACTCTTACAGCGTCTTTCTCCATAATTACATACCAGGGATGCGCGAGTCGCTACAATCTCGCCCCCAGGGTCGTTTTGATCATTTGTCGGCGGTATGGCTGTCGTTGCAAAGAGCCAAAATGACCTTGGGCTCGAGACTGGAGTCGTCAAGGAAACCTGAGAAATTGAGGAGGATCAGAAATCTGCGAAGAACTGTTGAACTTTAGAGACTGGAATATGCTCCAGCCGCGCGGACCTCTTTTTAATGTATTTAAGATGGATCAGAAATGATTGAACATATCATGCAAAATTAAATCGTTTCCAAGCCTTTTCATGTAAAATTATTTTTTGTGTGTGTACAGCAGCTGATTGCAGTCAAGATTGAGATTCCGTCCATGAATGTTAAACTGAAGTTGATTTACGAAAAAGCTTCCATTGCTGTTAACAGCAAAGCCCATGGCTACGTCAAACCTGAACTTTCAAAGGTATTAGATATGACAGTTCGTTTAATGCACCGTCAAGGACCAGTCATTTCTTTTTGACAAGGGAGGGGGGGTGGAGGATTTTGGCAGGGATCACATTTTTTCTGGGGACAGAGGGAGGATCGGTCAGCGTCGCTAATGAGAGTATACAAAATGGGAGCCATATGAAGAAATGCCCACGGGGGGGGGGGGGGGGG